TAAAACTTAAAATTTTGTCATTATATTCCTTTGAAATTACAAACTCAACAACATCCTCCATTACTTTCATTCTCAGCTTTCTTATTTCCAATTGAAACAGTCTCAATGTGCTCTTCAACTGGTGGCTCTAATGTACTTAATTTTTCTGTGATTGCATTGAATAATTCAGTGATATTGATATTAGTTTTAGCACTAGTTTCAAAGCAAGTGCATTGATAGTTCTGCCCCTTTGCCAATGCCTCTTTTTGTGTAACTTCTCGGTGTCCTAAGTCCAATTTATTTCCAACCAAAAATAAGAAAATTTCTCCCTTTTCTTTGGAACGTACATCCTCAATCCATTTATCTACATTCTCAAAACTTTGTCTATCTACACTAGTCAATCCTTTTGTTCATTTAGAAAAGTAATTTATTCATCAAAATTCTTTACTTTTTATTTGGATGGTTTTCTTTCTGAACCTAATACAAACAATAGAAATAAAAATACCAAACCATTAATATCATAAACTATCACTGCTGCTGATGAATCTCTAATATAACTTGGGATTAATGATCGATATCTTTCTTGTCCTGCAGTATCCCAAATCTGTAATTGAATAGATTTATTTTGAAATGTCATAGTTTTAGTAGAAAAATCAGTACCAATTGTTGCCTATGAAATGAGAACAAGAATTACTACGAACAACTAGAAAAAACAATAAACACAAACTTCATATCCAGTACTGAAATCACCAGTCATAAACCTTCCAATAATGCACGTCTTTCCAACAGAAGAATCTCCAAGAAATACTATTTTTTGTTTCATCAAAGTGTTCATTTCTTAATGATTATGAGTTCTGTGAAGATTGTAGTTGAATTCCATTTTTTTCAAAACTATAATTCTAATAATTTTATTATCAAATCTATCACATTTTATAATCTTTCAAAACATACTATAATGATGAATTTTTTTCTTCTCTTGTTTCTCTTTCATTTTATCCTGTTACCCTCTTAACCTCACTAAACTATTTCAAACATAAAAAAGAGTTCTGAGTAAACAAATAAATAAAGATGGAATGAAGGAAGGTATTGGAAAATTACTAAATTGACTTTTCATTCAAATATTGTAATAAAAAACAAAACTATTTATTCAATTATTTAAAAAAAAGTACACCAAGAACATTTATAATAAACCAATATATATTACTATAAACCTTATTAATT